ATGTAGGTCAACACATCAGATTTATTGAGTTCATACCATCCAAGTACACAGTAAAATCATCCCACTCCGATCCTATAGCCTCTCACTTGTCCCACTAGATAAGCTTAATCATAGAGACAAAAGATTAAGCCTATCTGGTGGGACAAGTGAGAGGCTATAGGATCGAAGTGGGATGATTTTACTGTGTACTTGGATGGTATGACCTTTCAATAAATCCAATTTTTTTAAAATTATGAACTGTCAGATTTGCGGCTCTAAGTTGGAATTTTTGTTATGCCAGCACGTAGGTTTGGAGCCTGCACCTGATTGACGTGACTGGTTGGGTCGATGTTGTCCGACTTTGGGGATTGAGCAGTGTATACTTCGAAATTCTATTAACCCCTTCGTGACTGACGACGTACAGTGTACGTCGCCAGCATCGGGGCTGTTTAAACAGACTCCCGGCGACTTTTGCCGCACTATATCCAGGCATTACCCACATTAACTCCAAACCTCTCTCTACCTTCTGGAACATGTCCCAGCATTATTTTTTCTTCTGCACCTTGTTCTTGTAGTGTGAAATAGCTTTCATTACTCCCTGTGATGTCTTCATCAGGCGTGCAAAATTCTTGCATTCTAGTTTGGAGCGCACTGGATTTCTGGCAGATTAACAGGTGTTTTTTTGTACTTGCAGTGTTTTTAAAAGGGTAAAACATGGAGAGATGTGTATATATGTCAGACAAACTGCAAACTGCAAATGCAGCTCTGTAATCACTATTTCATCAATAAAGTGGAACTCTGCTTTTGTTGAGAAAAAAATTCCATCTAGGTGATCTATGTACTTTGATAAAACTTTGTTGCAGGTTCCTAGCTTTGTCAGTTCTGAGGAAACAGCTGCTTATTTCATCCTTTCTTTTGCAGACTGATTCCTGAATGGAAGGGTCTGCTTCATTATAACCAGCTGGTGGAATCTCAGTGTTCTGATGATGAAAGTTGCAGTGTCCACATCCCTTTAGAAGTAGTTAACCCTTAGAAAGTATCTCACCAAAACTGAAACTCCTATTGCAAAGGATGCCTAAAATGTTACTTTTTGATCTGGTGGAGGCTTCTGGGACTATCAGTGAGCCAATCACAGAAAGAGGAATGACATTTCCGGGGGCTTTCTGTACACCATCGTGTACATAACACCTCCAGGTTGCCATAAAGCATTTCATTTTTAGATAGTTTTAGAAAATTACAGCTACAGTTTGAAATAGAAAGGACATTTTAATAACATTAAATTGTGAAATGGCTTGTGCAGAAATGGTCTATTTTTTTTTTAAAAGTGGAGTTCTGTGTAGAATGCATTTTCTTTAACCCCTTCGTGACGGGAGACGTACACTGTACGTCCAGCAGTGTAGGTACCTGAATCTGACCTGTTCCCAGCCTCTTGAAGTCTATGTACAGCAGAGCTGGAGTGTGGGAGGAAAAAGCAGTAAAAGAAACACAATTATGCTGACAAGAAACATGCTGATAGGAAGAGGAAGCAGAGTGACATAGTGGTAAGCTGTGCTCCTTCTCCTTTCACTGTCCAGTCACAGGCTGGGAGCTGGCCCAGGTCAACCTGGGCTCAGAGTAGGTGGATTGAATGATACTGGCCAGATCAGGACATTTAAATGGCAAAAAAAAGGACTGCACAGGAAATCTCTGGACTCAAGGTGAATATTGTAGCAAAAGCTGGTTTCTTTTTGTATGGTTTAATGGGCTCCTTTTTTTATTTACATTTTGTTTTCTAGAGTTTTGCTTTAAAAAGGAGAACTATGAGGTGAGTGATTTTCACTCATCTCATAGTTCTAGCCGACCTGTGACAATGAGACTGTCGCAGGTCGCCTCAGTAGATCGGGAGGTGAGCGAACACATACCGGGTTCGCTCACCTCTAGATCCTGTCACGGCTCTCTGCGGTGACAGGGGGAGGGGCTGGATTCCCCCCTCCGATCCGCCAGCGCTGACGGGCGGAACGGACGGGGGAGGGGGTGGGTACAGCTGGCTCTGCCTCTAGATAGGCAGAGTCAGCTGTCAGTCACGCAGCTGGGCGGATGCAGGCATAATTGACGCGATCCGCTCCGGCGTCTCAGTATACTGCGAGCTGTAGCTCGCGGTATACTGAGCTTAGGGTGACGGGAGGACGCTAGTTTGTGTCCTCCCGTTACCCTAAGGAGAAATATGGGGAAAAGCCTTAACCCCATAGTTCTCCTTTAATGTGAATGAAAAATAAGTGGCCTGCCTCAACAAAATCCTTTCTATTGATTGATAAAAGGTGAGGAAACCGTAACCAATGTTATTTACAAATGAAATAGGCACCCCACATAAAAAAACAAACAAAAAACAAAACATTATTTAAACTTTAAAAGAGACTTTTTATTATTTAGAAATGCAGTTATATACATAGAACAATTAAAATTAAATTACTTTGTACAAATATTAAAATATTATCTTCAGCCCCACAGCAATGTCCAAGTTGACATTTAGAGCAGAGGGAATAAAGCTGTGATTTGTTTTAAATGTATTCTGGCACCAGAGGGGTTACCTGTCCCTGTACGCAGGCATGCAGTGCCCCATAAACTATACAACACATGGTGGCTTCCATAATGCCTAGGGACATCCGGAAGACAGTACTGAGGTCAGACCACTATTGGAGTGATTCTCTATTGTCATCTTTCATGTGATGTCACGGGCAGTAACCATAACTCTCTAAATAGTGGGTATAAAGATGAATCACCTGATATACATATTAGAGGGCACTGGTAGAACATATAGAAAAACATAAAAAAAGGAAAAATGAAAAACACCCCAGGATATAAAGCCAAGCCTTGGTAATAGTTGCAGAGGAGTCTGATTAAAAGTATTTACAAATTGGTGAATGATTGTGCAGCTCATACATTAATGCTCCTGAAAATATTGCACTTTAGATTATAGGGAAGGACATCTAGAGACAATGCTGTATGTAGAAGGCAAAAGCAACATAAGGCCTGTCAGATGTAATAGCCCAACAAATACCAGCAAGTTCTGGTAGACAGTGGCCAGCAGGTCATGCTAATGCTTATAGCTCCTCTAAAGATGATGAGCCACAGGCTAACTAACCCTGGCATAAAGGAAAATACAAGTGGCACAATGTAAACCAGTGGTACTTATCTCTGGTCCTCAAGATCCATTGATCCCATGTCTTAGTGGAATAATAAAGGATTTTCTCTTACATAATATACTAATTAACACAGCAGAGGCGCTACCTGTTGGTGGACTTTGAGGACCAGAGATTAGCACCACTGAGGTAAACCACCACTGCAAATGAAGGCCATTTTTGGTTGAATGTCCACCCTATTCATGAAAAAAGTGAACAGATAAGCTGTAAGGTCCTAAGTATGGGTTCAATAAACGGCTAACCCCGCTATTTATATAGGACAGGCCCACTTTTGAAAAAAGTGCATCATTTTTGCTCAACTGATGCAGTTTGTCTTTAGCTGTAAAAAAATATATGTCCCTGCATGCCTGCATGTTAAAACCCCACTGCAACAGTGCTGTCTCTGAACAGTCGCTTATAAAACAAAACAAAAAAGGCCCCAAAAGCATACAGGCTGCAACAAAAACATGAACACACAAATACACACACACTCAAAAAACATACACACATACTCAAGGTGACTTGTGTAGGTGTGCATGTGGCATTAGTCTTTTGTAGTAAATGAAATATACAAACATACTCCGATACACACACTAGTAAAAATCCAATCTCCCTCATAATTCCCATTTTTCACTCTCACCAGCAGTTCCTGTATCTTCCTGTATAACTTGATATACTCAGTGCTTCCATTTCCTTGAGTTTCTGGTCCACTTATTGAGCCTAACGGGCATATTATGTGTGTGAAGCTCTGATGGGAAGAATGACCTTTCCACTGTGATCAATATGTCCACCCACCCCCTGCCCCAACACGCACATATCCAATTCCCCTTTGCGACATCTCCACTTTGGCTTTTCTGGGACAACACATTCTTTGTTAGGCTGCTGTATCGGAAGCAGTTCTTAACAAGATTACAAAGTCAAACAAGGATGGGTAGGATCCCGTCCTCAGGAGCACTCCATGATACCTGGAATCTTTCCAGGATTCTTAACTATACACTTGTAGCTTAGGGGAAAGCATTTTGAAACCATAGATCTATGAGGCATCGTTCTCATACAGCTGCTTGGGCTGTTCTTTTAGGAAAGCTTCCAGCAGTCAGGCCTATATTCTGTATGAAGTCAGATCTCACGATCACTTCCACACTTGCTGTACAAAGAACTGCTTTTTGTTTTCTAGCTAATGAAAAACGTGACCAAAAACATAGTTGCCTGTAGATATATGAGCGGTGCTCATTCCTATGAAGACTTTTAATATCATCCTAATATTCAATAGGTAATGCAATTAGTATGAAGTGGATTATTAGACACACAGGACCTATACAGAGCTGTGTAGAATTTTAATCCGTTTTTTTCTCTCCTGAAATTACAATAATTGTATTTAGTACATAGTATAAATTTACGTGCACTGGTTTCATTTTTAGGGCCTCCTGCATCACCTGTGAGAGTCATATGTAAGGAGCAATGAATCTTTAACAGTGAGTGAGATGCATCTCTAGATAAAACTCAAATTTTAGGATGCTCCCTCTTAAGTTACAAAATGTTTAGCTGTGAGACTGAACGGTAAAGACAAATTCTATACAAAATGCCAAACCACCTGCACAGCTTATGCAGGAGTCATGGAGATGTGCTGTTCCTGTGGTACATGCAATCATCATTACTAGGAGATATCAATCGCAAGCCTATTTTTAACAGGGAAACCTCCATAAACCAGGTACAGTAGCTCCCTATACCAATTACTTTTTAATTATCAAATGTTGAAAGCTGATTGGTTGCTATGGGTTACTGTACATCATTTCCTCTTGCATTACAAGTTTTGTAATGACTTAACAAAACAGTGAATTGAACAACCCAATAATGGGGAAAAAGCAGCCAGCCTGAGAAGTGGTCTACACCTTAGGGTTTTGAAAAAATCCTTGTCCAGTGTTGTTTGAAACGACAGGGAATATTGCACTGGACAATGCATTTTGTAGCCACCTGAATGGCTTAACCTGAGACAAGGGTCTTCCCTTAGGAACCATGTAAATATACTCCAGGTATCTGAATGTGTCCTATGGAGGTCCACAACAACATGTGTGCGTGCTAAAGTTACTAGGAAGGCCAAGAGGTATTAATATTTAGTAGGGAAACGTGCCAGGCGATGTATGATCCAGCCCATATCACAGGAGTATTCGTATATAGGTTACAGCATTACACATACATATTAAATAGAGTTGTACACCTCTGCAAGCAAAGCTCAGACAACCTGCTCCCAGTACTGTGTAGATGGGGAACAAAGCGTCTGTGCTCAGTGGGTTGGTGGGGATGAGGGAGGCACATGTCAGCTCCAGAGCTCCTGTCCATACAGGAAATGCAGAGCAGGGAGATTGTAGGGATCCCGCAGGGTTGAGTGAGGCATCAGATCTCTTCAAGCTTCTTTTAGCAGAGGGATATCTGGGGAGGAAGGATGTTGGGAAACTCATCAGAAGAAATCTACAGACCTTCCTCAAAACACAACATGCATAGGATTTCGAAATGTACACACAGTTGCAGAAGCTGCTGGAGCTCCCAAGAGACAGTAGAGACCAGTGGAATACCTAGGGACTGTTGTACCATCTATACCACCTTTTGGTGGAGACCCTTTTGTCGGGGAAGGCAAAAATCTGTTGGCTCCTGCTCTATAATGTGTCATAATGTGTCTGGTACAACCAACCCATCGAGCAGCGATACAGGATCAGCATAAAGCAACAAAAACCTCAAAGGGGAGTTGACGCAAAGTAGGTAAAGTAGCAAAGGCTCAGCATTTTCTGTTGCTTAAAGTGAACCTGTGCCCACATTATGCACACTAAAGTGTTTACCTATTCTGAACAAGCACTAAAAACACATTAAAACAAGCATTTAGATCATCTTGGTATCTATAAGCATTGTGAATAAAAGTTTAAACTTTACAACATGCTTAGTTTTGTTCTATGAGATCAGATCTTGGCAGGCACCAGAACTCTAATGTAAACAAGCAACAGGTATTTCTGAGCTGCTATAAACAGGGCAAAACCAGACTTTAGAGTCTTTGTTGTGATCTTTGAGAACCAATAACTTCACATTAATATGCGCTATCTCGGACCTCTGTAGCTGCTTTTAGTGCTTTCATTGCATGTTAAGGATATGTAAATAGTTCATGTCTAAAGTCTGGGCACAAGTGCATTTAAAAAAAAAGAGCTTATCGCAACTACCACTTGCAATGAACTACAACAGTAAACATATTCTTGGGCATTCTCAGGCAGCACAGTGGCGTAGCGGTTAGCGCTTCTGCCTTGCAGCCCTGTGGGTCCTCGGTTCCAATCCTGACCAGGTCGCTATCTTCAAGAAGTTTGCATGTTCTCCCTGTGCTTGCATTGGTTTCCTCCCACACTCCAAAGACATACTGGTAGGTTAATTGGCTCTTGTCTAAGTTGGCCCTCTATGTATGCATGCGAGATAGGGACCTTAGATTGTACGCTCCTTGAGGGTAGGGACTGATGTGAATGTGCAACTATGTAAAGTGCTGCGTAAATTGTTGGCGCTATATAAATACCTGTAATAAATATTCAATGTATCTACAGTACATCTACTTACCATCTGTATATTCCTCAGAGGAGAGTGAAAGAAGACTCTGCACATCACTGCTTTCAGAGTCAGCACCCTCCCTTCCCAGTGTCCTGCTGTGTGCTCCAGACACCCACTGGGAAGTCTGATGGACCAGTACAGTCTCTGATTGCTGGGAGCTGCCAGCTGTGCATTGTGAATTATGTGCCATGGCTGGGCCAGTGGTGTGAGTATTCTGCACAGATTGTCCTGGGATGCTGGAGTCAGGTAGTTCCTGCTGTATATCCTGCTCTTCTCCTGGACCTTCAGACAACACAATCTGCACTCGAGAGCTGGCAGATGGGATACAGTTTCCTGCACTGCCATAAACAGCTTCTTCATACGAAGGAAGGGCTACCTGCACCCCATCAACCATGATAGAAACCTGCTCCCCTGGCACATGTGTTTCACGCCTGTAACAAAACATATAAGAAAAATAATTAAATGTCATGAATGCTTCAAGTGTCTCTGCTAGAGGAAACCATTTCTGCTAAAACGTCATAAAATGTATACAGTTGCCAATAAGTAAGCCATTGTGTAATTGAAAGGAAACTACTGGGAGAAACAGTAGGCCGAACTTGCTGACCTCTACTTCTGAAACTGCTAGTTGCCCATCTCTCTCTGGCTACAACATATGGCCGGCAGCAAGTGTGCAGATCAGGAAAGCCATAGTGATGACAGAACTTCTGGTCTGGATAATTGTTCCACTTGAACATACTGTACTTTGAAAGTATTTGACAGCCAGGGAACTAGGTGTTGTCAGCAAAGGAAGCGGTAATGCTTCCTCTATACCGGGGATTCCATTAATGTTAACAAATTGCCCACCTCCAACTAGGATTTTCTAAAAACTAACAATTGAAATTTCCCAACCATGCAATTTTTCTTCCTTGCTACTAAGGCAACAGTGATCTGTGTACACAATGCCAAAGAACTCCTATCCCAACGCTAACGTACTGGGTCACTGCTTTTTCCAAAAGCCAAATTACAGCCAACACCTGCAATAGGAGTTTCATGTTTGCTGAGCTCAGCATTCTGACAACATAAGCAGGTATGAATTTAACATAAATACATTTAACTAAACACTTAAGATTTATACAGTGGATTGCTATTTTCAGTTGTTTACGAGGAGGTCTTAGACTGTCTATACACAACCAAGACTGTCAGAGACACCTTCTGTTTGCCTAGTAGCTCAATCTCTATGGCCAGATATGATGGACATGAGTGATCAGCGCAGATGCTGACCTTCCAGAGTGTTCAGGAAACAACCAGACAATTGTACCAGACCACATCCACATGCCGTGCATCCTTGTGTCCTTTCATATCCTGCTATCTCACAGCTTTAAAATTATGTATTTGTCAGTAAGGGAACTTCTGTAACATTTATAACCTCAAAACCTATTTCCCCTTTTGCAGCCAAATTTGGATAACACTTCTTTTATATTTGTTACAAGTTCCCATTTAGAAAAAAAAAAAATAACAGCCTGCTGCATATATATTACTTTCTCTTTTCTAAAAGAAAAGTTTTTCTCTAAACTGAATTTTGCTCTGCAATGCAAAGGGGGTGGGGAGGTTAACGGGAACATGAAAAACCCTGTCTGTACTATGCTGGCAGGTGTCATTTTCAGTTGTAAACTAGATTTGAGCACGGTCTGTCCCTGAAGATCTAGAGGCATTGTATGTCAATGAGAGGAAGCCTAGAGTGTCCCTAGCTTTTCTATGGGCATAGAGTGATTTTCCTCTCACTTGTCCACATTCGTTTACAGTCTGCCCAGCGGCTGGCTACACAGACACATCTAAAAGGCAAGAAATATTTGATTAAAAAGGACTTAGTTCTGCTTTGTGAATAGGAACATATAAAAGTGGGGTTTTCTCAAATTTTACTGCAGGAGTGGAAATGATTATTATTATTATTATACAGAATTTATATAGCTCCGACAGTTTGCGCAGCAGTAAATACATGTTAAGCTAACCACTGGCTCACTGTTAGAATTGCTCATGCCCATTCATTAACAAATCTGAAAACAGGCAATTTAGACGGTAAATGGCATCAAAGACCAACTCCTACCAAAACGATACTCTAGTAGAAAGCATAGAGTTAATTGACGTACCATCTTACAATGCTTCTCTCAAAGTCTAGTGACAGGATTCCCTCTATTAGACTGGGTTTTCCCCTCCTCCTACCGGGTCATAATGAAGTTTCCACTCTCTCAGACAGTATTTAATCATGTGTTTATTTTGCAGCATAGAGAATCCATTAGAGGGGCATGACACCACCATCTGTCTTACAATGACCACAACATCTGGCTGTCAATGAGGATTCCAGTAAAAATCAGCCCGACAAGAATAATAAGCCAGCACGTGCTTTTGAGCAACCACACAACACTGAAATATAATTTTGGGTGGAGATATAATTTACTAATCTGTTTTTTATGCCACATACTGTAATGTGCAACTAATTAGGTCTATCAAACGTAAGTTAAACACAGACAATAGGGGGCAGTCCATCATAGAGGCACAATCCATTCTCTGTGTCTCATGATATAAATAAACATGAACACCCAGAGCATTGAAAACTGAACTCCAGGCCAACTAAATACACAGATAAAATACAGATAAAGATTTAGACGATTACAGGCAGATTTAAATGGATGGTCCTCATATAATCTTAGGTAGGGAGAATAAACACTGTTAAAATGAGTGTCCTTCCAAAAATTTTGTATTATTTTCACTTCCTGTCGATAGCTCTATGAAGGGATGATCTGCTGCGATTTCAATCTGTAAATATTACGTTTATTTGGGGGGGAAACTACCGAGATTTGCGAGATCTGTTCTATTACGGGGTAGATGTATTGGTGGCCTCGGTCTACCTCATTTTTTGCGCTACTTTCTATGGTTTACTCTTTTAGATTGGATATCTATGGAATCCAGTTCGGTCTCTAATACCCAGATTGATTTATTGAAGTGGCTTGCACCAAAAGCTAGACCAGCGGTTTTGGCCCCAATATTATCCAATTCCTTGGCATTGTGGGACAGATTACCTAAACTTTGCAAGCTTTTGTCTGCCCACACGCTCTTGGCTCCTCTTTTTCAGAACCCTATTTTCACCACCGGGAGCTCAATCGCAAGCTTTTCCGTGGTGGCTAAACAAGGGCTTTTTCGGAATTGTCATTATTATAAATATTGTAAGCCTTTAACTCTACCGCTTTACACAGCTAAACAGAGTCCCGGCAACTATATAAATTTGCTTACAGGGACCCGCTGCCAGCGACATATGGCATACATTGTTGACAGAAAAAGGGTTAAACTGTTGACATTAGAAAAAAATAAAAAATTAATGGTGTATTCTAGATTACAAAGCTGCATTATTTAGTGCCTTTTATAACTCTGTGGAGTTCAACTTTAAGTCAGTGAAAAGGTGAGCACCATGAGTAAGCAGAGCTTCATCTTGATTTAAGCAAAAGCTGAGGCCCATGTACAGCCCGAGTCTGGGATCCAAGGGCTTCCAAAAGAACCACTTTAAAGACACTACAAGGTACCATGAGTTTCTTCACTGTGTTTAAACACAGGTCAGGTTTACCCTAGCATATAAGAAATGTAGCTGAAAACTGACAATTAAGTTACTAGATAAAACCAACCCATGCATGGAGGTCCCCTTTTACAGAAACGGAAATGCCCCGTGCCAGAACTTTAGAAAAAGTTTATCAATGCCAACTAATGTATATTTTCACAACAAATTTTGGGCCCTGTATCAGTATATAATGTGTGAAAAGGGGGAATGAGAAAATAGATCATAATATGGTTGTAGAGCCAAACTTTTCTTTTATAAAAATAGGGGCCTACCAAGTATCCTCACTATTGTGGGTCAGCTAATTTTAAATATCACTTGACAAAAGCACAAAAGAGTAAAACAAAGAAAAAAACGAAAACTCCCTACTGATATTCCTTGTATAAATTACTTTTAAATGTCCCAACTGAGACCGGTGAAAGAAGTGAAAGTTGGCTGACATTATTTACCTCTCCCCTATACTGTTTGGTTTTTCTGGTTTTACAGAAACTATTATTTAACTTGTCATACATAAATGAGCGTCTACCCAAAACTCTAGTTGCTTATGAACGCTGCCTGGAGGTGAAAAGAACCTGTTGAGACACCAACGTGCTTTCTTACATGATCAATTATCAAGGGTTCGGAAACTCAACGTAGAGAAACGCACAGAAATTGCCACTGAAACACTCACCTGCTGTGGTGGAAGGACTTGATTTTGGGTTGTAGTAGCACAAATAAGACAATTAGGAGTAATATCAGGGCCACAGAGCTGGCTGTTGAGGCAACAATGGAAAGTGTGGGCACCCCAAGGCTGGTATTTCTATTGGTGTCTGGGGGGAAAAAAAACATTTGGAAGTTACAAAAGGCTCTCCACTACATCAGGTTTATTTATTTCTTACAGGCAATTATATAGCACTGACAATTTACCCGCACTTTACATACTATTCATTCATATTAGTCCCTGCCCCCGAGGAGCTTACAATCTAAGGTCCCTATCTCACATGCATATATCCATCAGCATGTCTTTGGAGTGCGAGAGGAAACTGGAGTACCCCGAGGAAACCCAGGCAAAGACAGGGGGAACATGCTAATTCCATGCAGATATTGTCCTGGCTGGGATTCGAACTGGGGACCACTAAGCCACTTTGCTGCCCATGTTAAACTGAAGTGCAAGTCTAGCCAAAGTTTATACTATTATTTGAGGCTCCATTAGAAAGATTTTTCCTAATTTTCTCTCCTGGTGTCTACCATTTTACCAGACTGGAAATCAGGGATTATTCTGCAACAGTGACACAGGCAACAATAAGAAAGCTGATGGGGGGCCTTAGCCCCTACTCTAAAAAAAATAAATGTGTGTGTGTTGCTGAGATTTATCATTGAAACCATTGTCGCAAAGACAGAAGGTGAGAAGAAAGCCAATGGAGCCTGAAATAGCAGAAAGAACATGACAGAGGTTCTAACCCCTTCCTCATTCTATGAAAAAAATATTTTGACTAGACATACATTTTAATAAGCCAATATAAATGTACCGAAATTAAAATGACAAGGTACAGTAAACCAAGCAGACAGTTTCATACTTCTCATGGAGAACCCATAGCAATTCATAGAAAATTACTACCTGTTCAATCACACCTGATGGTGATTGCCTTCTACTAATTCCAATGATACAATGAGCAATGTTGCTTTCCTTGAACCAGGCATTGCATATAACTAGTAGTAAAGCACTCACCCTGGCTCAGTCTACAGCTAACTCCCATAGGTGGGCTCCAAGCACCATTCTTGCATGTTAGGAACTTGTAGTCTCCTTTCAGCATGTATCCTTCGGCACAGAAATACTCTATGACACTGCCAGATGTAAAGGGCTTTTCACAGTGAGGGGGGTGACACATGAATCCACCATTCTCTGGTTCTGGGGGTGGTGGACATACTAAGGAGACAAAAAAAAGAAAATAATTTATTAAAACACAGCAAAGCTAATATTTCTGCAACAAACATTCCATTGTATGCTATAGATGGAAATGTATGCAAAGTAAACTGTATTGGAGAAAATATTGTTACTGCACAAAGAAGTCCATCAACTATCCAATGGATGGACACAAAATTGCAAAGCAGTAACTGAAGAGAAGCAAGGAAAATACTATACACCAGAGCCTTGAGGATTTCTAATGGAGGAAGTATTAGTATATTAGGCATAACAATCAATTCACTAAGATGGACGAGTTATTTCATCTCCGTTCATTATTTTATCCCATGACAATTGTCTCTGAAAAATGTTCAATTCACAGAGAACAGGCAGGGCAACGTCTGACCATCATCTGCAGCACTGCTAATTACTGCAGTTATTTCTTGCTTGAGGGAATAAAGATTCATGCATGCTCAACTTTCCTGCGTCTTTTCAAGATCAGCCCTGTTGCAGGCACAACCTTCTGTGCAATAATAACGCCTCCAACTCTCTAGACATTTATTATTGCTCTCCTGCACAGCATAAGGCATCATTCACACACAACGCAAGCAAAATTGTATATTGCGTATATACGTGCACTATTTGCATTCTCATAATGCATCATTTCTAATGGAAATTTTAATGAACTGTACGCATATACGCGCAAAATACGCAGAAATACGCTGCCCGGGCGCATCTGGTTCCATTCTGTTTTTGCGCATATATACGACTCCATACGCGACTATGTGTATGGAGCCATTTATTTGCATATGTTGCATATGGTACAATACGCGCGTATATGCGCGGCACTGTGAATGAGGCCTAAACGGTCTCATATCTGCAAGTGATGCTTTTAATGGAGCATTGCTCACTGTCAGTATGAGCAAGTACTGCTGATCGATGCTCATTTGAGTAATGCAAATCAGGTCAGATATCACCAAGACCATCATTCTCTGAAAGATCTCATAAATTTTTTTACAAGCGTGCTTTACTGTCCGTGCTGGCACAGGCCCCATCCCGTATGATGCCCGCAGCCAGCCCTGTCAGAGATTACCTTACCGCATGCTACAGCCAAACAGCCTCAAGCTTTACAAATGCCAACTCACAGGAGCGTGAGGTGCTCTGCCGGAGTCTGTTCCCTGGTTTCTCTCGTGGCCCTCAGGTAGTCGGTGCTGTGCGGGAGTGTCGTGCCCGGTCTCTTTCGTGGCCGTGCTCGGTGTCTCTGGTGGGCTTGTGGGAGGCAATGCTGTGAGGTCCTTGGTCCCTAGCTGGTTGCTCGGCAGGCTGCCCAGAGGTCCATCAACAAGCGCGGTATCTCTGGGCAGCCTGAAGCTATTTAAAAAATTAAAGGCCCGGTATCTGCGTTATGTATCGCGGCATTTTCACAAGTACAAGTATTTGTGAAAATGCCCAGTATCGGCCCCGATACTAGTATCAGTTTCATGACATCCCTAATGAACACCTCTCTAGTTACTTACAAGATTCTTGTAAACAGAAATATCTATGCATGGGAAGTACTCTTCCTCCCTTTTAAAATAATTTTCATCTTAAGAGGGAAAGTATAGTGTATTTTCCGTAAACAAGCATCAACATTTTGCTTGTAAATGGTATACTGCACCGGGTATCTTGTTTCTTAAGCAAGTTTCCCAGGATCGAGTGCTGGCTGTCATGGCACATGCCTCGTCTCCTTTCATCAATTAGCCAAAAAAGAGAATATTGGAAACTGAAACCCTCTTATTTCACGTGGCTGAGATCTCTTCAAGGCTCCTCCCTCCGCTTTTTAAAGCAACACCTCTGACGACACGTCTCTAAGGGATTGTTCACACCGAAAGCGTGTGCGTTCCAGAGCGGTAGCTGCTGGAACGCACCACAATCGCTAAGAAACTTCCCCCACGTTCTGGGGCGGGAGGGGGAGTGGCATTGCATTGAATTCAATGCAGTGGAACGGAACGCTGGCACAGTTTTGCCACGCGTTCGATCGCAATGCGGGCGGGGGGGCGTGGAAGCGTTGCCATTGAATTCAATGTACCGCCACGCCCCCTCCCACCCCAGAACACGGGGGGAAGTTTCTTAGCAATCGCAGTGCGTTCCAGCAGCTATCGCTCTGGAACGCACACACTTTCGGTGTGAACAATCCCTAAGAGGGGATTTCCCCACACTTTGGAGAGATTGTCTTTCACTCTGGGATATGGAGTTATGGGGAATATCTCCAATGAGTGGTAAAAAAACAAAGTGTACACTTCTGTTTTTTTTTATGTTTGCCCAGGCATACACTTTAGGCCCCTGTTCACATGGGCACCGTATGTGCACAGATCCACTGCTGGGGGGAGCAGTATGGAATGGACGTGGCATCATAATGGCTGTATGGACCCATGTCAGGTCTTTGGGGAGTCGGATGTACAGTCGGATGACCTCTATCTGTCACAATCAGGCACAACCGTTTACATGAGGCTGCCCCATAGAGCAACATTGGGCTTCTGATCAGATGTGCCTCAAAAACTGACAGGTGGACTTGTTCGGACTGCCCGTGTAAAAAGGGCCATACCCATTCTCTACTCGACCCCCAACCCCCCAAAAAAAGGCTTAAGATATACTTGATGTGCAGTGTCTCTATATTTGGCTGAAACATTAACACCCAATTCCTTGTTACTTGCACTGCCTGTTGTACTCTGAAGAAAGAATATCCTGTTTCCAGGCCTCCAATTTCTTCTCTGTGGAAAACCCCATCCTGAACCTTAAGGCTTCATAAGCATCTTTCTTAAGGTGCCCATACACCATACAATTATCTGCAGATTTTCTGTGGTCAGATGGAAAACGTGCAACAGATTGGCCAAGGTGGAGATTACTCCATCCACACAGTTAAGTGTAGATGGAGGAATCTGTTGCACCTTTTCCATCTGAGCATAGAAAATCTGCAGATAATTGTAAGGTGTATGGCCAGCTTTAACCATTCCCACAGTATGAAACATGAGACTGTCACAGCTGCAGAAAGGCCAGTATGGCAGTGTGTCAATCACTCCAGTCTCCTCACTCATTTTACTCCCAATATTATATGAAATTACAGGAAGTTAATATAAACAGAAGCAGCTTTGCAATAACAGAATTTTAAGGTAAGGCCTAACTCCAGCTTTGGACATTGTGGAAAACGTGCGCAGATTTTAATTGATGCCTGTGATTCCATTGGGGATAGTTCCTGTCAGGACTGGAAGACACGAACAGCAATAAAACCTGACAGGAGAGTCAAAACCAATGATTTTCAAGCTACTAGGTATATGGGGTCATGACTGTGGCTCCCAAGGGGCCTGCACGTAATATTCAGTACAAGTAAATCTGGCCGTACACTTACAGATTTTTCCTCCGGCTATTGTATTCTGACAGCCGACACTTGCCATTGTCAGCATACCAAATTGGCTGCAATCACTGTTCAGCCGCAATTTCCAATTCTGTTTTTTTTTTTAACAAAAGTCTTTTGAAACAGTGACTTGTTGAGCTGGGTGGTGCCGGCAGGGCCACACACAGCTCAAATTTGGTCAGAGTCAGCCGGACTCTGCAAATATTCCAGCAGTTTATGGCCATGTGACATTAAAGGCTTTTCTCCCCCCAATGCTGCTGTAAACACTTGCCTTATTTGATGCCTCTTGATGCAACCATCTTCTTCATTCCACTCCTTTCCGACAGTACCTCCAGCGCTGGTGCCGGTCTCTGATCCAGCGCAGACGCCTCTGTTCCACGGAGGCTGTCCGTCGTGCGTGCTCCCGGCTGCGTCCATTTACGGTCTGTCCGTTTTCTTCCTCTTCGCTATACTGTGCCTGCACACTTCCTACTTCACAGCTGTTCGGGAGGCGGGAGTTCAGTCGGGATTGAGCAGCCCTGGAATTTGCCTACTTTATTTTTTTAAAGTCATGGGGCATATGTCTACCACTTGCTAGCAGTAGATATACATGCCAAACAAATACTTTAATTCTACTTTATTGCTACAGAAGACAGTCATGGACGGCAGACTTACTAGAGGAAGCAACGACTGAAGACGTGCCACAGCTATGGTTGGAGACTGGATACATGCTGTAGAATATGGTTAGAGATAGGGGAACATGAGACATCTAGAAATCACTGCCAGTACAGCCCCTTCACAAATCAATTCTTTCTGCTCCCACTATGGACTGCTGAGGTCTAAGGGTTGCAATGCAAGCACCAGAGACGCACATGGGCCCTGAGTGGCAGGTTGGACACTAGGTTTCTGAACTTTCCACACTATACTGAAAAAAAGTTATGTTTTTGGTCATCTCTCCCAATTCGCAGGTAGTCACTCCATGTATAAATACACGTGGCAAGCCACAGACAGATGCAACCACTGTCACCTTGTCATTAACTTGAACAGGCACAGCGGCTGCATCTGTATGGACACACATGGGATTCCTGCTGCAATAATCTTCAGGTTCTTGTTGCAGGGATTCCCAGATGCCAGTGTGCATGACACCTTAGCCAGTGAAAATATTCACTAAACTGGCATTTTTGAATCTACCTGGAGTAGTTATTTCCCGATGTGCACAATCCAGGCGGATTAGCGTTTTAACCAAATATTATAAACCATCCTCAGCTGAAATGTTCACAGGTATGACATCTCAAACAAATTGTATCTATCCAATACTTCTCACTATTGGAGACAGCTGGGGCGATGACCGATTCATCTCATTCTATAAACATTAAATATTGTCCCAGTATGGTTTACCGATGAGAAGCAACATTATTCACAGTTGCGTTTGCAAAACCTCTTCACAGGATTGTATCTGTGAGTAGGCCGAGCAGATGAAGAAGTGGAACAAAACATAAGCTATGAGCAAGTCGAGGCAGGAAGATTGCAACAAATCTTTATGTCTCATACAGCAGATGCTCTGTTCCCTCAGGACCCCATATTTAGAGTAACTGTCCACGTGGCTGGAACAGCTGAGAACACACACTGATCTCTACTAGAGGCTGCACAGAGC